GTATATTAATATAGGCAACAGAGCACACCAAGGATCAAAGTCATGGAAACGACTGATCAATCATCTCTCAGAACAAAGTTCTTAGGATCAAAGGCAAAGGCCCCTAGACTCAGGACATCAACATACATCTGTCAGAACATAATTCCTGAAGACGATGTTCTACGTCCGACGTGGTGAGTAGTGCTTGAGTCTTAACTGTTTTGAACAGCCAGCTAATGTCGGAGGAAACCAGCCTCCAACAACCGAAGGGCCAGAGGTGCAAATGTAGGGCGATGAGATTTGAAGATTAAAGTCATAGAGGACAGGAAAGAGAGGAGAGAGAGTAACATAAAGGAGTCAGACAGATTTGACGGTAGCATGCTCAGCTCAGCTCCTCTTGATGGACCACGTAGAACTGGGAGAAGTGAGAGCAAGCCTTTACTATTTGGGGCATTTATAGGTAGCCTAAGCCATGCATCTTCAGTACTGATATGCATCACAAAGTGGGTGGTATCGACATTAAGGTCCCTTAAGATATCACCTAATTACCTGCACAGGAGGGGTTGGATGCCACGGCAGGAAGAGAGAGCAACAAGACAACGTAAGCTCCTACAGGGAGATCGAATCAACCCTGTACTCACTTTAAGGCAGCAGAGCTGTTGAGGGGAGAATCTGTGGGAATGGTTTTTTATAATCGTTTTATTAGGGGCTCCTACAACTCTTATCACAATCCATACATACATCAATTGTGTAAAGCACATTTGTACATTCGTACATTCATTGCCCTCATCATTCTCAAAACATTTGCTCTCCACCTAAGCCCCTGGCATCAGTTCCTTATTTTTCCCTCCCTGTACATACCCCCGTCCCTCATGACCCTTGATAATTTATAAATTATTATTTTGACCTATCTTGCCCTGTCCCACGTCAACCTTCACCTACTTTTCTGTTGTCTGTCCTCCAGGGAGGAGGTCACATGTAGATCCTTGTAATCTGTTCCCCCTTTCCAACCCACCCTCCCTCCAGCCCCCCTGTATCTCCACTCACACCACTGGTCCTGAAGGGATCATCCACCCTGGATTCCCTGTATTTCCAGTTCCTATCTGTACCAGTGTA